GTACGAGAAGACAACGAGCAACATAGATACATATGTGAGGGAGTATAGAAAACATTGAAACATGGATGAGAATCGAGTTTTATCAGTGCTGACATTAGCTTTCTTCGTACAAGTAATATTAAAGATAAACGCAAGAAAGTTATATAATTACCATCTCTCCAGAGTATACGGGTTACAAGTTTTGAAGATAATCAAATTATGATAACTACACGACCATAATACAAGTTTGATGTAATAAGGAGTATATGTATGATTTAATACGGAATAAGAAGATAATATTGACCCATTTCCGCATAGTTAAATAGGCAGATTATAGTATCACAAGATATCTAAATATTAAAAGAACAAATAGAATAAGTATAGGCCTGTGTTATATGATTGACACGAAGGCATTGGCAAACAAACACCTGATGTGAACATAATTTTTAATGGATAAAAAAAATATATACCACGCCATAATATTAATTAGGCTGCCCTGGAAACTAGTGGGTTGTCTAACGATTCTGAAGACGATGAGTCCGGCGAGGATCGGGTAATTGGCTCTAGGGCGGGCATGTCCGAATCCGAAGATATCCACCCATCATCCGATGCAACCTCGGCATAATGTGGGGACCATGATGGATTGGCAGATCGGGGGTGGGAGGCAGAGGGGGAGCTGGACGTGAAGGGAGGGTAATCATTGGGGGTGCACTAGCGGGACGAGGATTAATCTGGTGGTTGCTGAAAGAATAAACCCGCAAAGGCGTCAACCCGTATGTAAGGACCATGCGGCCATGAAGATAAGGGGTGCCGCAGTCCGGACAATAAATCTCTGGGATAACCCCAGGCACCGAAGGGAACGATCTAAAGCATTCTGCACATACCCTATGAATGGTCGCATGACAGCATGGTATGGGTAGTACCATAGGGGTCGATCCTGTCTCAAAATAGACAGTCCTTTTACAAAATACGCAAAAGGGTTGACGGAACCATGAATGATACCGACGGCACGTCTGATCAACCTGATGGCGGATGAAAATGGTATCCGGCAGATAAGTAGTATCGAGATGGCGGATTAAATGGCATGACGGGAAAGCAAATTCCCGCTCCAAGAAATCCGAAATGGCCAGTAATGACGGGCGATTTGTATTCAAGGCTATCGCGGCCCGTATAACCCATGAATGCATAATTAAAAACGGATTCTGTTTTGAAAATGCCGTTCGAGCGCATGCCACAAACAGGTAGGGCGCACGGAAATACTCCGCGAGGATTGTCACCTGTTCTAACGTGACAGCGTCCATTTGATCCAGCTGAGACATTACTGGCAACATTCCCGCCAAAAACAATTCCACACACCAAAACGGTAGCGCCCGAAAATTGGACGGACAGTGGATTAGAGGTGCGCGCAACGACGCAAAGAGCTCTGACTGCTGTCGCAGTGCAGCTCTAATTTCCCCATTCAGGACCAATAGGTCCATATCAGTGATACATCAAAAGTATGCTGGATTTTGAAGTGCCTCCATATTAGCGACCGGTTAAGTAAAGATGAGCAAAAAGAAGAAGTAGAAAAAGAGGAGGATCAGTAAAAGATAAGAAAAGTGGGAACTGGACTCAAACACACAATCATACAAATATTGCAAATTTTGTTTAGATTTTTTAGAAGATGAGGCAGAAGGAAAAATGAATTTCAAAAATGGATCTCAAAAATGAATTCTTGGATATATCTCAAAATGAATCTCAAAAATGGATAACAGAAATGAATCTCACCGAGTAACCAAGAAGCCTGGAAGCGTGGGGCCGAATGAGGAGATGTGGAGGCTTTTTATATATTTACCCAAAAATATCATAAAGTGATTAAGTACAATTATAAGAGGATTAAAGAGAAACACTTTATCTTTTAATGTACGTGCCCCATTAACCTCTAGCCACACGCTTCATAGCCGTATGGACATACGTTATGTCAAGGGCAGGGGAAAAGCGACGCCCATATGTTGCAGGACGAGGAATACACCCGTCGTAATGGGAATAAACGGCTTTAATTGAAAAGCTTTTAACCAACTGATATTAATTTTGCCCGAAATATGTATAGATTGTGTCGGTGTATGAACACACAAATTACGAGAGTCAAACAATAAGTAGTAAGAAAGGAATTCCCGTTTAATGCGAAGATTAGTGAGAGGATGTCTAGTGGATACCGTCAAGTCTCGGGGGCAAAGTTGAAACTGCGAAAGCACAATTTCATGACAAGAAAAAGAATTAGTTAAATGGAGAACCAGTGATGTAACTGGACGATTAAGCTTTCTTGTTTTGCGAAAAAGCAAGATAAATACCAAAAGTACTGTAGATACAATCAAAAACACATCAATTGAAATAGTTGATTTAATCAGGGACATAAAGGATGGTGTTGGATAATTTGGAGGTGGGGAAGTTTTTGGAGGTCCCCATACTGTCAAACTATTGGTCGGGGAACCTGTGGAAAGTAACATTAAAGCGAAAAATAATCGTCGAATTTTAAACCATAAGTATAGAACGACAATCAAGAGAAAGAAGGATAACCCTGCGGCAATGCTAGCCGTAAAGTGATAAGGGTTTGTATAGTCTCCATCCAAAGCGTACGGTGGGAGAGAATCCATCCAATTACCATCAATTAAATTATTGGAAATAACCTGTGACTTTTTCATACGCTCAGAATAAGGTGTAGATCAACTTGAAATTCCCTGTTTTTTCTACGGATTTTATCAAAGACTTTATCGTCAATTTATAAATGTGGGATATTAAAAGCCGATGAAGGAGGATTCTGGGGGTCCTGGGGGGTGGAAAACCGTAACGGTGCTAGTGTTAAGCCCAAGCGGGCCGAATTAGTAAATATGTTGGAAGTGATGGGACGAAAGACTGGACTGTCATATGACGTCGATGAATCAGAATTGTTTGCATAAGACATTACAAGTAAAAAAAGCTTGAGGGAAAATTATAAATAACATATCCCCGCTGCGTAAAGGGAACCTACCGTCGTCAAACGTCAATGCGAGTGAAAGAAAAGGTTGGAACGACCATCAGAAATAAATGAAGGGGAACGTCTTAAACATTTTGTTCAAGAAAACCCGCAATCTCCACCATGTCGTAACCGGGTTTTGGGCGTTAGTAAACCCTACTACCAGTTACCTATTAAGATGGCCGTTCCGCATTGTCAGGGGTGATGTAAGCTCAGGTTACATACTCGCTTGGTCCGTCCGGGGCTTCTACGTTTAGGAGTGAGAGGTCTGACGACCGAGACTCCTAACTACAACATTACATTCATGTACTGGCACTCTGGCATTACAAGGAATAACTCAACAATAGGTTCTATACTCACATAGGTTTACTTGATCTCTCTCTTCATTACAAGGTGACGTGGTGAGGACAGGATAGGGCAAGCTCTTCACCAGATATGGAACTGATCGATCGCGATGCAAACGTTCTGCTGACTTTGTAACCCGCGCCACTTTCTAGTGCTGACGGTTTCTTTTTAAAGTGTTCGAGCCTGCTCCACCCTTGTCACATGACCAGATACAATCCCTCTGATTCGTTTAAAGTTACATCATTCCATGGTCTCATGTCGTACCTCGTGATCAGAGGATTACTGTAAACTAATCGGTGATTCACCGTTAATTGCTACTTTTAAGCGTCTTTTCTGTTCTGTCACTGACAGTTATCCTGTTCTCTATTCCTTGATTTATTACCAATCAGTAACAGCATTGATTCTATGACTAAATAATCGTAATTCTCAATAATGGATTTGTGATACGTTTCTTGAATAACGGATGCATTTTCGCCTTATAACAATGGATTATATTAATTTCAAAGGAGTGAGTGAGTTTAGTTTTACGCCGCACTCACCAATATTCCAGCTATATGGCGGCAGCCTGTATATAATCTAGTCTGGATCAGACAATCCAGTGATCAATATCATGAGCATCCATTTACGCAATTAGGATATGATGACATGTGTCAACCAAATCAGCAAGCCTGACCATCCGATACCGCTAGTCGCCTCTTACGACAAGCATGGGTTACTGAAGATCAATTCTAACCCGGATCTTCACGGGTTATTATAATAATTTCCAGACAATTACGGTTGTGTTGTGAATATGAAACACACAGACTAGCAGAATATTACGTCCTGAATTCAAGCAAGCTTGTAGGACATGTTTGAAGCAACTTGAACCAACAATACCAGGAAACATCTGACCAGGGAATCTTCAACTTTAAAGCTGAAAAATATGTAATGTAATATTTATGATAAATTCAAGTGATGATGATTTTTATGGAGAAACATGTACAATGTGTATGCCCCCACCCCCAACATTTATGAACAAAATAATTGACCACCCACTGCTTGTCATGTACAAAATCAATAACACCCCACCCCCACCCCAATGACCCTAGACCGAACAAAATGGGTGACCCCTTAAAATCATCACCACCCCTCCACCCACCCCAGCCAATAATTATGAATGGTCCCCTAGGATAACTAACTGTGGACTAACGGGTTAGTCACGCGGAGGTAAATATGAATACGTTAACCTGTTATTTAGTTGCAGGTTATAAGGAAATTTTGAATAAAGAGATTTTTATTACAATCGGCAACAAAATCAATAGTAAACACTGAGTTTTCCTTCCTGGGTTTTAATGGAGTGCATCATAGTACTTCGGCTATTATAAAACTCTTGCACGTAATTCACGTCAAACAAGATATAAAACCAAACCCCGACTGATACACATAAGCCACAAAACGGGAAAAGAACGTTCTGAAATTAACATGGTGATTAAAGAGGAAACGTGTCTTATTCCCAGAATCATCACATGTCGAATTCTTAGGCAATTTTGTTACTTGCGTTACTTAAATTCAGACACACCATTTTACGTGGAAAACAGTTTTCATTCAGAGAGACATGCACATAATAAACATATGTTGTTTAATGTGAAAACAGACGTTGCACAAAAAATCAGATTGAAATTGCATATTTCAGTTTTCTCACCAGGATATCCGACGTGATGTTGCTGCTACTGTTGTCGCTGGTGTACCTGCCGGGGGTCGTCACCGTCAACAACGATGTTTTGATGGATGGCGATGTGGTCCTCGGGGGACTGTTTAGTGTTCAAGACTATACAGAAGGACGCTGTGAGAGTATACTTCCAAGCTCCATAATGACTCACGAAGCGATAAGATGGTTCTTTAAGAAGCTTAATGAACGGAACTACATTTCAAATGTCTCCCTGGGTAGGTACTTCTTTTTCAAACTCGGTTCCTCCATACAACTGGACTATTAATGAGTGCGTCGTTAAATAACAAAATCAAACTCAAAATACAACTGTGTTGGTGAGATATTGCTTTGTTTATATGAAAAACAACAACATTTATGTATATTATGAAACTGCGTTGTTGAGGTTTTTCTGTAATTTTACGAAAATAATTATATATAATCTTCATATCCTTAAATATACATATTGCGTTTGACTGGTAATATTTCTAAATACTCATTATCAGTTTTTACAACAAATAACTGATGAATAAATGACATATTTGACCTGATTTTTCATGTTAAAGGTTTACATGCATACAAAACCTGCGGTCAGCCCCCTTTGGCGGTAAAGGCGACCATTGCCATGAAGAACACATGGGACGGTATATCGAAATTCCAAGGTAAAGCATGTAGATGTCATGACATTTTTCACTTAGCATCTTTGGTCGTCGATTGCAGCATCTGATTGCATTGTATATCAAAGTGGTTTTCGTTAATGTTGCCGAGTTCTGTTTCAGGATTGTACCATACCATTGTTTATTCTTAAGTCATTGTTTATTCTTAAGTCATTGTTCAAGTAAACTTATTCTAAACTTTACACCTCCAGACATCTTTTGGATGAAACTGGATGTGATATGAAATAGGTGGTAATAAATCTATATAGCAAATGTTGAGCATAAGCGTGAATCAGCATTAAGTTTAGTCTTGGAAATTAGTCTTGAGAAAGGTCGACGGTCACAGCTGCCTCGGGCTCTCTGTCACCATTTGTTTCAATGATACACACTTCAATAATTAATGCCCACCTACATCATACATACATCTTTCGTGGATGTTATGAGGGACCTTTTTATCAACAAAGAAGAAGACTGTCAGGAACATACACCAGACGCCAAAAGAAACGTTACCCTCCTACCTTTATGAATTACATAAAAAGTATCAAAGATATGGTACAAGGTATTAGCTTTAAAAGAAAGCTTAACAACACAGTTTTATGCAAATCACGAACATAAATTCTCAAATGCATTCATAATTAGATGAAATGCATCAGACTATTATTTTTCGTCCATGCCGAAGTAAACCAATAACAGTAATTTAGATGTCCAAAAGAAAGTTTGAAATAAAATTCTGCTTTGGGACAAAGATAAATCATTTAAAATCACCATTTTTCAACTATTCAAACAAGAAACAACTGTTGTAGAGTGTGTTAAATTGTAAAATTATCATTCCTATGATTTCAGTCTTTTAAAACATTTTCTGCTGATTTGCATCAGTGAAAAACAAGTAAAACGTGTCTTTGATATTGTGAAAAAATGTTTAGGAACTTCTACAATGATTTTTGTTAAAATTGTTGCTTACACATAGCAATATCAGTCGCCAAAACGCAGCTATATTCAAGCAGTATTTGCATCCATTTCACATGTAGAATGATTCTATAGGGTATGAATAGAGCCTAGAAAAGATGATATGATACACAAGTACGAGAAATATGCCACGGTTAACAGCTGAAGAGAAAGGAAAAGCCACTGGGATGGTGCAGATGGGGGTCGACATACAATGCTGTTGCCAACGCCCTCGGATGCCACGGTATCACGGTTATAAAACTTATTCAGGGCTTCAGACAGACTGGAGTCACCGTACACAGACCAAGAAGTGGACGTCCACGCATCACAACGTCAGTTGAAGATAGGTACCGCCGTCATTAAGGAAGGAGGGTAGCGTGTCCTTTGGCGTTTAGTGTATTCAGGTGTCTATGCAACAGATTTAGGGCGTGGGAATAGTGTTTAAATCCTATCAATAAATCAACCCTTTTAGGTGTATAGATGCATGTATGGTAACCCGTCTAGATTAATATACATTGCTAGTAATTAATTTCTAGATGCTTCCAGTAATTTCTCGTTGCTTCGAGTATTTTCACAAAACTTGTAATTTCGAGTTTTTGAAAGAAACTTGAAGCAACCTGAAAATACTGGAAGAATCGAGAAATTAATTGACGGATCGAGAAAATACTCGAAATTTCAAGTCTTCAAATGCAAAGGAACTTGAATATCGAGAAAATACTCGAAGCAACGAGACAATAATCGAAATAACGAGGAAATACTCGGAGCAACGACAAAATAATCGAAGCAAAGAAACTTTTCGCTGAAAATATATTTCATCCCACAAAAGTGGCAGTTTTAGGCTTTCGTAGATATACAATATCTGGTTCATTATTTCTCATAGCAAATATTTCATAAGAAGTATTGTATACTGATAATGCATTGTGAAATCTGATTTTATTAGGAATTGTTGGACCCGGCTTCAGTGCAGAAACTCAGGACGTATCTCGTTTGCTGAGTTCGCTTCCAGAGGAGGATCGTCTGCTGCAGATCAGCTACTCCGCCACGGCCGCCATCCTCTCTGACAAGAGTGTCTACAAAAACCTGTACCGGGTCATAGAAACAGATGATGTACAAGTGGAGGTAAGACATCCGACTTGTTATTAATCTTTCCATACGACGAAAAGTCTTCAGAGCTGCACATATATCCTAAGGACTTGATATCACGTCCAGTCACCTACAACCCTTGCATACGACCAGATTTTTCCAGCTGTAGCCTCTGAATTCGATGGACGAGATATGACGTCGGGTTTTTTACAATGTTTCCATACGAGGGACGTGATAATTCGTCTACTCATACTAAACATATTTCACAGTTTTCTAGCCGTGTATCCTCGTCCTTCGAATGCAGTTCGTGTACTTTGTGACAGTGCATTATTTAGGATTTACTTGATTATCTCCCCTGGTCTATATGGCCTTGATATTCGGTGACCACAGAGCGTTAAATGGCTGGTTGTCGAAAATCGTATCTGACTGTATGCCAAGTTCTATCTGCCATTTGCGATGACGAGAGTAGCTGTTACGACGTTTGACGTTTGATTGTTAGCAATGTTCTTTGACTGTTGACTGTTCTTATAGTTGTTACCACAGGTAACATTCGTTTCATCGTTGTTTCGATTTGGATGTCATGGCCCAATAATTCTAAGTGATGATATAAATCTACTAAACTGTGGTTGTTCTTCCACCATAGTGTAGTCACTGGATTAAAGAAATTGTCACAATTACCACACTGCTGTGTAAGTTCCATTATGTTTCTCCTCTTAGAATAAAATGTTTTTCCAATGTTTCTGTGCTAAAGACGACCTATTTTTTCTCTTTTGGTCTGAAATATTTTAATCAAAGTTAATAAAGATGTTTTCAAAAAAAATCAGTTCATATGGATTTTGATGTTATGCTAGTCATGAATGGTCCATGTCAACCGTTGCAACCATGGGTTGGTCATATCACGTCCCTCGTATGTAAGTGCCATGTTGCTCGTATTTAAGGGTTGTGACCCATCAGACGTAATATCTCGTCCTTCGAATGGAAAGAGTTAAGAACTATACATTGGGCTTATGTGACCGTGGTATTCAAACAGGGTAAAGATGGCAAAAGAGTCTGCAGAAACTGGATCAGAGAATCAGAGATCGCATGAATCACTGGCTGAATTAAGGTTTGTTTGCAAGAATGTCCGTAATGTTTAGCCTATAAAACATTTTAAGGTCTTATGCTGACAATCGTGGTGACTCTTTGAATGGAACCAGGTACTAGCTTGTGAGAACAATGCGTAAGAACTTACGACATCGAAACATATGATATGTTCATCTACAAATAGTAGTTAAACTAACTTAAAGAATTTACACAATCATTATAGAGCCAATCATAACAATGATTTAGCTTCGTAGCCTGGGCCCTTATTCTCGAAACGTTCGTAGCCCTAAGAATTCTTAACTTTGATCGTAGCCAATGTGTTAAGAATGGGCTTAAGAAGTTCGTTGGGCTACGAACGTTTCGAGAATAGCTAACCTGGTACGACCATCAATAGCTTAGTGCAATGCCCGTCTGTCTGTGCCATGTGCAGTAGATCGACTAGGAACACTTACTTTTCAGTGTTGACAGTTAAAATATACCCATCTAGTGAATGATTAGGTAGGTAGCAGTTCTTCTCTTGTTTGAATCCCTTCCTTTTCTATTGCTATACGTCAAATGCATTCACACAGGTGAGAGATGAGTCATCCCAAGTCTCGTTCGCTGACATGTTTTTTAGTTAATATTTGATGTCATAATGCGCTTGGAAGTTAGATGAATAACTTAAACAGAAAACAGAAATAGTTAATAATTCAAAACATATGAAATGAAATTTCGGTAATACTTGTATTAGAATAATCAACTGAAATCTGTCATGCAGTGTATTATATTTTTCAGCACTTTGCACTTAATCTTGTAAGTTTGCAGAAAACAGTTACAACAAAAGGTTATTTTTATAGTAATTATGATTTCCATTTTGCTTTTTGATATTGTGGTTAATTAGTTAATGACTGTCCAATGAAGGATGCAATAATAAAAAGTAGGTGTCATCGCCTGACGTGGAATGGGAGATATTTATCATACATATATATACGATTATATTATGATACAAAATGAAAATCAATATATTCTTGAAACCTACAAGACCGTTGTTGGAATCGAATAAGAATATGCTGATCAACAAAATGTCAATTTGTGAAACAATAGTCTCGAGTGGTTTTACACGGTTTATGTTTTCATGAAATTAACCAACGGCACGAACTAAATTGAACCCCACAGATGACCATCTGTCTTTATCTCGCCGTGTCAAAGTGAGATAAATGTAAACATAAAGAAAGAGGCCCTATTTTCACCAGGAGACACGTTTAAGGGGAGATAACTTGCTAGGAGGAAACTCTTGTAAAACGCATAGTCTTGTCAATGTGTTGTTATGTTTCGCAACTTCAGAACGCTGAGTCTTTCACACTCATGTATATAATAAACAGTTGATATAAGTGCGATACTTATTCACCGGAACACAGCAAATACGCTGAGTAAACAGATTACTTAATATCATATATCATACATTACATATTTTCTTTACAGCTTTGATGACAGTTTGAAAAGACAGATACACATTTATTAGAAATGGATACTAATCAAAATAACCATATACGATACCACTGCGTCTTCTCTCTTCCCTTGTCTTTGTCGATTTCTTATCTGTCAAGTTCTATCACTTTCTTAATCATGATGTCTATACTGTAAATTTTGAATTTTGGAAATACCAGAGATATGTGTTCGAAGTTGAAGAACTTGTTTCCAATCCCTTTCACATGTGAATAAAAAATGTTTACATCAAATGATTTAAATAGGATTCATTGTGTACAGAATTACAAGTCAGCATTTATATGGAAATTAATAAACCAGTATGATTGTGTAACGCATGTTATGTATGGGATTACTGACTGACTGACTGAGTTTGGTTTTACGCCCCTTTTACCAATATTCCAGCAACATCACGGCGGGGGACACCAGAAATGGGCTTCACACATTGTACCCATGTGGGGATTCGAACCCGGGTCTTTGTGTGCTGGAGATTACATGTAGGTGCAGGAGTGTGGGTTCGAATACCGAATGGGACTTAACTCAACAAAAGTACCATTCGTAACTACTCGTGTCATTCCGGCAAGCCGGACTATTTACAAGGAAAGATAACTCTGAATTTCCAAACACGGCTACTCCTACAAATTAATAGTACAACACGAAAGTCGCTTTAAGTAAGTTACCTATGTCCTTAGCATGTATCAGTAACAAGAAACTTTTATAATCACGGAAATTATAAGGAAAATCGATAATCGCAAAGAAACTATTTGACTCATTTCACCTCTTACTACACGCGAATTGATTGGTTTGTAACGATTCTTGGCAATAATGGCGTACTGTACAGGTACGAGTTTTCTTGTGGGTCACGGAAAGAGGCGAGTAGTAACGAATGCAAAAGTACAAGAATCTGTTACGTCTGACCACTTTCAAAATTACATTGTGTATTCACAGTATAATTGTTATTCTTCTACCCAGATTATGGTTCAGCTGATGAAGTCCCTTCAGTGGAACTACATCGCTATTGTGTATGGTGATGACACCTACGGCAGGGAAGGAGCCAAAACCCTGAAATCCATGGCAGAGAGTCACGGCATATGCATACCCGTGTTCGTACCAATATCTCCGGGATCCGTGAGCGACGAACTACGACAACGCTTTGAGACAATTAAAGATGAGCTTCAAAAGGATTCACAATCGCCAGTGGTTGGTTTGGCTTTTTTCGGCCAAGCTGAAACTGCCAAAGCGATGTTCGATTACCTTGAGATCGAGCTCAGCAACTTCCAGATGATAGTTTCTGAGTCCATTGGTGAAAGTGAGTCATATTTGATGAAGTCTGACGGAAGCGTGTACCCATTAGCTAAGGGACTTCTCACCCCAAGTCCTCCATACTATGATGTCGAGCTGTTCCAACTACACTGGCAGTCGCTTCATACCCAAGGCAATGTTATGCGAGAATACATACAAGATGATGATTGGCTGTTGAAATACATGGAACAAGTAACCAAGTGTTCCCTGGCAAATGAAACAAATATTCCACCATCCTGTCTTCAACGGTCCACAGATTCAGTACAAAATGCCAAACTCTCCATCTACACCAACTACGCACTGATGGCTGCAGCCGCCTTTGCAAAGACATACAAGACATTATATGAGTTGAAATGTCCTCAACAAACAGGTGTATGCAAGGATGTGGAGGATTATATCTCCAACAAGGCCAAGTTTATTGAGGAAATGGCTGCAGTAGAAGTCAACCCTGTCGTTGAATTTACCGAGCTGTCACCCTTTCGGTTGAAGTTTGGATTCAGGAATGGAGAGCTTATGTACACGGAAATGGGAAACTATTCCACGTACATTGTTAACAATTACCAGCAATGCGATACTAAGTTTTGTCATGTGCAGGTGAGAGAAAATGTGTATACGTTGTTTTGTGTGCGACTTGTGTATGGATGCATGTTTTAGTATTCTTGAGGCTGGATATACCAACTTTTAGAAATGTTACAATAGGATTTTTGTACCAATGGATAAATGGAATTTCAATAATATATAGTCAAAATTGTTAAGACAGCAATATGATTAACTGGGATAACATGAGTGAGTGAGTGAGTATGTTACACTTTGTACCCATGAGGGGAATCAAACCCGGATCTTCGGCGTGACGAGCGAACGCTTTAAGCAGTAGGCTACCCCACCGTCCCGGCATCACATGAGCTATCCATACATATAGAAAGCAAAAATTATTTAATTATTTTCGGATTTATTTCTTTGTTACTGAAACGTCAATTTAATATTCTCCCCATAATTGATGAAACAATTCCTATTTGTGAGGTATCATTCACAACCATTCTATTGTAGGCTGCGGATTACGATGGTGCAAACCTGACTGTATCGACGGACCGCATCAGGTCCTATAGAAGAAATGGTGATGAAGTTATCGGGCCTGTAGCTGCCCAGTGTCAACAGCCGTATACCTGTGATAAGTGCAGTCGAACCATCACCCCTACAGATGTGTTATACATTCCTGGAGACTACTACATAGTAGGACTTGTCCCTATCCACAACAAGAAACAAGATGACCCTCTGCAGTGTGGTGAACTACGGACCGCCGACAGTGTGGACATTGCAGAAAGTATTTCATTTGCGATTAAGAGAGCCAACTCGCAGAAAACTACATACATATCGGCCTTCGGGGAAAAAACAGTTGGTTTGGTTCTGATTGACACTTGCAATAATCCCTTTCAGGCTAGAGAACAAATCATACAGTTGCATCGAGGTGAATTGAAATTGTCATCTAAACTTAACAGTTCCATGCTTGTTAATAGAATAATTGGATACGTTGGGCCATACGGTAGCTCTGTGTCAGTGCCAGTGTCGACTCTCTTGGCTGAGATAGATGAGCTAGTAATTGCATTTGCTGCAAGCTCTGTTGTCCTCAGTGACAGAACCTTGCATCCGACATTCATGAGACCAGTTTCTCCTGACAACAAGCAAGCTGATGTTATAATGCATCTTGCTAAGATTCTTGGTGCCAAGTATGTTCAGATACTGTATACAGATGAAGTGTATGGCATCACGGGGAAGGAAGCGTTAGAAAAGTCCGCAAAGATCCACAAAGTCTGCATCGCTCAATCTCTTAAGATACTGGATTCAACTGCTTCTTCGAACTCCGTGGGCTACGTTTCTGAGTTGAGGAAGTTTCGCCATGCCAGGATGGTTATCGTGTTTGTGCGGTCACACGTGACACCTATTCTAATGACTGCACTCAATAAGGAGGTAGACAATGGGGAGTTCGTCTTCATTGGCGGAGAAAGTTGGGGAAAACGTCCACAGGTCCTGACGAATAACTTTAAATTTCGCGGCAGCTTGACCATAGGGCAAGATCTACCGCGGAACACGGCATTTGAAGACCATTACCGTGAAATTGATCTCGAGCAAACAGAAAACCCATGGCTGCAAGAATACTTAGAAGAACGTAACGAATGCTATTACCCTTTGAGTTTTAAGAAGAAAAACATACACCAATGTAGCCCTACCGTCTTAGAAGCATACCGTCCGACAGACACATGGGTGCCGTTTGCCATAAATGCTGCGCATGCTCTTATAATTGGATTTAATCAAATTCTGGAAGACACTTGCTTTGGGTCTTTCCCAAATTGCCCCGAATATTCCACTGCTAAGCTAATAGAAAAGGTTAAAGCTGTTCGCCTTGACATGTATTACGATGGCAGAAATGTTCGTGTGTTCGACGACAATGGTGAAGGGAATGTAGCTTACACAATTTATCAGATTATCAGAGAAGGGAGTGCCCTTAGTTACAAAAGGGTGAGTTTTATTTATTTAATCGTTTAATTTCGTTTACATTGATGTGTATTGCAACTATATGGCGGCGGTCTGAAAGTAATCGAGTCTGGACCAGACAAACCAGTGAACAACAACATGCGCATCGATCTACGCAGTCTTCTTTTACAAAACCTTTTTTTCTTTTACAAAACCCTTCGAGGTCAGATACAAAAGCAAATTTCTGATTGAAATGAGATAACATAAACATGAGAGAGTGAGCGAGAGCGAGAGAGGCAATCATTACACATAAACTGTTGCGTTATATATAGTCTATATATATATAATAGATACTTGGTATATAGATGATATATATATATATGTGTGTGTGTGTGTGTGTGTGTGCGTGTGTGTGTGTGTGTGTTTTCAATGGCTGTTATGATATATCAATTTGTATAATGTTAACATTCCAGATTGGAACGTCTGAAAATGGGGTGCAGTTTGTGGTTTCAAACTTGGATACGTCGTTTGAAGTGGACCTGTCATCTAGTTGTCAGAACGATGTTGACTGTGGCATATGCTCCAGACAATTCAACAAATCTGGTTTAAGGTAAGATGAATTTGTATCACGTTGCTTCCTTCTGGCCTGACATAGCTGCCATTACAGAGATTGTGTGACTTATTTACTGTGTTATCACATCATAACAGATTTAGCTGGCGTCCTTGAGGTACACGGTCGAACATTTTAAGGGCAAACTCCGTAATACAGCTTTCGTTGTTAGAGCATTCTACTTCACACAACTGTCATTGTTATAGCATTCTGCCCACACAGCTGTCACTGATAGAACTTTCTGCCTCACACAGCTGTCATTGATAGAGCATTCTGCCTCACACAGCTCTTACTGATAGAGCATTCTGCCTCACACAGCTGTCATTGTTAGAGCATTCTGCCTCACACAGCTGTCATTGTTAGAGCATTCTGCCTCACACAGCTGTCATTGTTAAAACATTCTGCCTCACACAGCTGTCATTGTTAGAGCATTCTGCCTCACACAGCTGTCATTGTTAGAGCATTCTGCCTCACACAGGTGTCATTGTTGTAGCATTCTGCCTCTCACAGCTGTTACTGATAGAGAATTCTGCCTCACACAGCTGTCATTGATAGAGCATTCTGCCTCACACAGCTGTCATTGTTAGAGCATTCTGCCTCACACAGCTGTCAATGTTAGAGCATTCTGCCTCACACAGCTGTCAATGTTAGAGCATTCTGCCTCACACAGCTGACAATGTTAGAGCATTCTGCCTCACACAGCTGTCATTGTTAAAGCATTCTGCCTCACACAGCTGTCAATGTTAGAGCATTCTGCCACAAACAGCTGTCAATGTTAGAGCAATCTGCCTCACACAGCTGTCATTGTTAGAGCATTCTGCCTCACACAGCTGTCATTGTTAGAGCATTCTGCGTCACACAGCTGTCAATGTTAGAGAAATCGGCCACACACAGCTGTCATTGTTAGAGCATTCTGCCTCACACAGCTGTCAATGTTAGGGCAATCCACCTTGAAACAACTGTCATGTTTTCCTGGGATATTGTTCAGCGACCCCGTGAACAGTGACAATGTGCCAGCTATCATTCTTGGCGGGTTCGTGGCTGTGTTGGTGATCGTGGTCATAGCACTGGTGGTTGTGTTGGTCAAGACGCGTCGTAGAGCAGCTTCCACGGACGGTGAGATATTTGTTTATGGTTTTCACTTTCCCATATAGGTTTGTAGATAAACACATTTTAGTTTGCAAAGTATAAAAAGTCGATAATGCCGATGTAATGTAAGTTAATTTCAGTTTCCGTAGAGCATCTAAGTATCTTTAAATCCAAATATAACATTTTTGTTTTATAAGAATACTCTCTATTTGTGTTTAGAAGTCATACAGTCATCTCCTTTTATTTTTGTATCACGGGTGCATTCAGAATAATATAAACATGTTGCAAACCTTTCCACAATCACAAGAAGGCTGTGCCAAAAGATGATATTAATAACTCATTGAATCGGAAATATTTTTTTCAAAAATAGGAATGATTGTTTGTGGCCATGCCAGTTGTTAAGTTAGAAATATAGAGGTTATGTCCATCAGTGACAAAACATGACGTTCTATGTTTTTAAGGTGAAACTTGCTTCTGTATTTGTTGGTGATGGGATAAGGTACACTGTTCTTTTCACAGAACATCTGATGCCACCATTGCATTGTTGTAAACTTGAACACGTGCTTATAGTTATAGTCAATCCCCACATGGCCCATTTCTGGTGTGCCCTTCGTGACTTTGCTCGAATATTGCTAATTAGAAGCGAAAACTTCATCAAATCAATCAATCAATCAGCCAATCAATCAATCAATCAAAATATAGTCATAGTCGTGCAATGGACTCAGCTATAACAGCTTTTATCATATGCAAGAATTATCTAAAAGGCCATCACCCAGGTACTGTAACTATCTTCCACGGGTAGAAATGCACATTTTTTTGAAATAAGCTTATGAGAATTGAATGATGTTTTATGAGTATGTCGAACGTTTTTGCCTCATCGGTTTATATTTGTTTCTCATATCATACGTTGCAGCATTGGGATCTGGCCAAGGCGATGATTACCATGAACTTGATCTTGTGGCTCACAGTCGATCACCAGCCCAGTGTAAGGGACCTCCAAAGCCCAACTATAGGCACGGTGAAATACCAGGTTCCATTTTCCCCACATTTTCCCTACTCCTCTAAATGCGCCTTTGTGTAATGACACTCGTTATACTGGAGTCGACCCGGGAAGACCCGGATTAGAATTGATCTTCAGTTACCCATGCTTGTCGTAAGAGGCGACTAGTGGGATCAGGTGGTAAGGCTCACTGACTTGGTTGACACGTACCACCGTATCCCAGTTTTGTAGATCGATGCTCATGCTGTTGATCACTGTATTGCCTGGTCCAGACTCTTTTATTTACAGACTGCCGCCATACAGCTGAGTGGGGCGCAAAACAACAAACCAAACCAAACCATGCTTGAGTCATGACATGCCGGCGATTCCAAAATACTTTCACGATCTCACATCCCGATGACTTCTAACATTACTACGCTTATCAAACATGTCTTCACCCACCTTGTCTTATCTTAAAGCAGATTGAGTGTGTGTAACATGTTTGAGATCCAGCCACATGTATTGTGCACTCTTTAATTTAGATGAATAAGTATTACTGTTCCAATACGTTAATTGAAATTAAAAGTAAACTTTGAAGTGCGGTCCGCGATAACCAACAATATTAAAGCGCTCGTACAATGCGTTTCTCCGCACTGTGCCTCAAAACAATTATTGCTGGAGCATTCCAATTCCGTGTCGTCGCTCCGATCATTAACAGTGGCTTCATACGAGAGATATATGAGCACACTGTGTAGTCTACTATCAGTGCATGCTTGGAGTTGACAACCAAAACCGAAAGTAAAGCCATCCATTTCTGGCTTTTCTCATTTGGAATTTTCCTTTGCCAGTTTGGGTACTGTTCCTCAAACGTACTCCAGTGCTATCACTAATGTAATCAACCCGCGAAGATCCGGATTAGAATTGGTCTTCACTAATCCATGCTTGTCGTAAGAGGCGACTAACGGGATCGGGTGGTCAGGCTCACTACCTTGGTTGACACACGTCATCGTTTACAATTGCGTAGGTTAATGCTCATGAATGCTGTTGATCACTGGATTGTCCTGTCCGGACTCGATTATTTACAGACTGCCGTCATACAGCTGGAATATTGCTGACTGCGGTGTTAAACAACAAACCAAACCTTAACAAACAAGCGAACAATACAAACAACTAACGTAATCAAAGTCATGGTCAACAAAAGACAGTCATAGCTCTGAAATGAGGTCGAGTAACAGAAACTCAATGATACAATTCAAATCGGCTATTGAGCATACCGTTTCAAGTAACATGTAACTGCTCTGCGTTCTTGCGCCCTCTTTCTTGTTGTATAAGGTTACATCGAACGTTATATTTCAGTGCAAGGAGAACACGCAGTTTCAAATGTGTACCTGACAGCCATCCCAGGAACGCCTGAGCTTCGAGGTCGGTCCGTTCGTAGACCAGCTGGAGAAGCCGGTGAAAACTCTCCCGGTGCAGTGAATGAGAGCATGGTGATCGACGAAGCGGGCACAACAACATAGAGATCGCTGTGGACAAAAGTACTGTGTTACCGTGTGTCCATACGGATATCTGGGAGCGAGACTCAGTGATGCTACTCTCAATCTATATATTTTCATTCGAACTCAAAGAATATTTACTGTGTTAACTGGCTCCCGTTACAGTATGGCCCCACAAATGCCACCATATTGTCCTATGATATGTCTTATAGTATGACCATAACATGATTATGCAGATGTTTTTGGTGCTAAAAACGTTTAGAAAATGTGGACCATTTTACATATTTTTATATATACATTATTTTTATAACGGATATAGATTTTACAATGTACCCGTGATTTATGGTATTGGTAGAACGATTGTATACACATCTATGCAGTGCTTTGGGATGTGCATAGTGTGAGGTATTACTCAATATTCCTTACTATTCTTTTTTCATATTTTTTTTTTTATTCAGCCTCGGTAACCACGGTTTGACATAAACCATACAAGTCCACGTGGTCAGGGACTACTGGTTTATAGCCTGAAACTTTTACCACAAACTTTACCTATATATAATACCAGAGCATATTGCAAATCTATAACGAAAAGCTTCATAGAAACTTTGATATTGGTATAGTGAGACTTTTATATAGAGTATTTTAAATCCAAATTTAAAAACTCAAATATTTACCAATTATAATTTTATTGTAAATCTAACATGAGTGCTTCTAAATATATAAACTTTACCTTTGAATATTTATATATTTCTAGTGCATATTTCAAATCTATGATGAAATGCTTCATAGAAACTTTGGTATCAGTATAGTGAGACTTATATATGAAGTATTTTAAATGCATATTTAAAAACTCAAATATTGGGTCAAAGTGATCTGTTGAACCGTACAAGAGGAATTTTACAGAAAATTGTTGCTGTGAATACTTAGAAAGAAACTTCACATAATCATTAATCATTGAAGTCACATTTTTACAATTATAGAAACTGTTAACATTGATGAAGATATATTTAATCAAATAATTTGGAATAATAAATTAGTCATTTTAAATAAGAAGTCTGTGTATAATGATGAATGGGTAAAAGCTGGCATTGTATGTGTTAGAGATTTGCTTGATGAAAATGGACAGTTAAGAACTAGACTAGAGTTACAAGAGATATATAATTTGAATATGCACAGTAGATATTTTTACAACATCAAAGAGCTGTTCAAAAGGCAATAAATATAGTCCGAAAATTCAGTTTTTGTGAAACACACCACCTAAGTTACAGGGAAATATTATGAATGATAATATTAAGTCTAGGCACTTTTATTCAATGATTGTGGATAACAAAGTCACTTGACCATATACATTTAATGATTCATCACATACTAGCAAAATGTACGGTCTTTTAACAACCCTTCCGTTATCCAACAAGTTAAAAGAATAACAATTCAAGACTATACACAATATTGTGCCTTGTAAGAAATGGTTGTTTAAACTTCGCTCAAGTGAATCACCAGGATGTGACGACTGTAAAACTTAAGAGGACGTTTCCCAATCCTTACTAATTCTTAGATCGGAGTATTGTGACACCAGAAATGGGCTTCACAAATGGGAACCACTGATCGTTGATAATGTAGTATTGTGTTTATGACCTTTATATTCACTGATAGTTGTGTATACACATGACCCGTTAAAACCACTGATAGTTGATAATGTAGTATTGTGTTTATGACCTCTATATTCACTGATAGTTGTGTATACACATGACCCGTTAAAACCACTGATAGTTGATAATGTAGTATTGTGTTTATGACCTATATATTCACTGATAGTTGTGTATACACATGCCCCGTTAGAACCACTGATAGTTGATAATGTAGTATTGTGTTTATGACCGTTATATTCACAGATAGTTGTGTACACACATGACCCGTTAAAACCACTGATAGTTGATAATGTAGTATTGTGTTTATGAACTTTATATTCACTGATAGTTGTGTACACACATGCCCCGTTAGAACCACTGATAGTTGATAATGTAGTATTGTGTTTATGACCATTATATTCACTGATAGTTGTGTATACACATGACCCGTTAAAACCACTGATAGTTGATAATGTAGTATTGTGTTTATGACCATTATATTCACCGATAGTTGTGTATACACATGACCCGTTAAAACCACTGATAGTTGATAATGTAGTATTGTGTTTATGACCTCTATATTCACTGATAGTTGTGTATACACATGACCCGTTAAAACCACTGATAGTTGATAATGTAGTATTGTGTTTATGATCTATATATTCACTGATAGTTGTGTATACACATGCCCCGATAGAACCACTGATAGTTGATAATGTGGTATTGTGTTTATGACCTTTATATTCACTGATAGTTGTGTACACACATGACCCGTTAAAACCACTGATAGTTGATAATGTAGTATTGTGTTTATGACCTTTATATTCACTGATAGTTGTGTATACACATGCCCCGTTAGAACCACTGATAGTTGATAATGTAGTATTGTGTTTATGACCTTTATACTCACTGATAGTTGTGTACACACATGACCCGTTAAAACCACTGATAGTTGATAATGTAGTGTTGTGTTTATGAACTTTATATTCACTGATAGTTGTGTACACACATGCCCCGTTAGAACCACTGATAGTTGATAATGTAGTATTGTGTTTATGACCTTTATATTCACTGATAGTTGTGTACACACATGACCCGTTAAAACCACTGATAGTTGATAATGTAGTATTGTGTTTATGAACTTGTATATTCACTGATAGTTGTGTGCACATATGTCTCGTTAAAACCACTGATAGTTGATAATGTAGTATAGTGTTTATGACCTTTATATTCACTGATAGTTGTGTGCACATGTGTCCCGTTAAAACCACTGATAGTTGATAATGTAGTATTGTGTTTATGACCTTTATATTCACTGATAGTTGTGTATACACATGACCCGTTAAAACCACTGATAGTTGATAATGTAGTATTGTGTTTATGACCTCTATATTCACCGATAGTTGTGTATACACATGACCCGTTAAAACCACTGATAAAATAGTTGATAATGTGGTATTGTGTTTATGAACTTGTATATTCACTGATAGTTGTGTATACACATGACCCGTTAGAACCACTGCCAGGTGAATGTGTGTATGATCTTTTCCATCCCTTGATAGCAGGTGTGTCCATATGATCCATTATAACCACTGATAGTTGCATGTCTCTCTGATCCTTTGTAGACACTAATAGCCGTACAACTATGTATATATATCATCCTTTATAGCCAATGACAGTTGTTTTTGAAGATATTTGGAATGTACACATACACGATCGCTAATGATGTAACGTTTTGCTGTGTGAACGCAAATCTTAATGGTGCTTCTTCCAGTACAATCGCATGTCAGTGTTAACGGTGATGTCGAAATAAATGTGTATCGACGTTCCAAAAAGTAATCTCTAAAGAATGAGGTCCAGACTCTAGCTGTCGGTATTTCAGTTCAGTGAGTGAGTGAGTTTGGTTTTACGCCCCTTTTGGCAATATTCCAGCAATATCTCGGCGGGGGACACCAGAAATGGGCTTCACACTTAGTGCCCAAGTGGGGAATCGAACCCGGGTCTTCAGCGTGACGAGCGAACGCTTTAACCACTAGACTACCCCACCGCCCCGATTTCACTACAGACCACTTAAAGGTAAATGTTATAACCATTTATAGGAGGGCATTACGACATGTACTGTTCCAGCGTTTCCGAAAACTAGGTATGAGATGTGATGCAATGTTCATATCCGGAAAGGAACAATGCTTGTTGACAACATTCCACATGACAGGTAGTTGTTTACCTTTACTTGTAATACGACCGCCTCCGTGGTGTAGTGGTTAGAGCGTCCACCAGGAGAGAGGAAGGTCGCGGGTTCGATCCCCGACCGCATCATACCAAAAGACATTAAAATATGGTACTTCTTGGTCCCTGCCTGGCGTTCGGCATTAATGGGTACAACAAGGACTGGTCGGCTCGGAGTCAGTATAATGTGACTGAGTGGGGTATTCATGCTTCACTGCAGCGTGGTATCTCAGTGGGCTAGCACTATAAAACCAGCTTAAGTTTGGGCTAGTACAAGCAGCCGCACATACACATACACACGCATGCATGTCGTCATATGAGCGAAATATTCTCAAGCACGATGTTAAACCCAATTTCACCTCACCTCACTTGTAATACAGCGCCCGTGAAGAAGGTGGGGTGGCATAAGGGAGACAATTCATTCTTTTATGTGTACGACTAATTAGCCCGCCAACAAACGCTACTAACTGACCGAGTATTGGTCATAGGTGTTGCATACGTTTTTCTGAAACTAACATTTTGAGCCTGTCAATACTCACTGCCATTACAATAATGTGTTTTTAAATGTCCACTCAAATTGCAAGAAAGATTTACATTATATCTTCTGTATTTTCAGGATAGAACGTTTGTTATTTGACCTTTCATTCCAGCATTGGGTAACTGGCAGATATGTGTACATGTCTACCATGTGGTGATGTGTGGTCCTGTGCATAGAGCACAGGTCACACATCAGTTGAAGTTAAGCACTGTTGGTCGAGGACTGTCCTTGATGGTTGACCGTGTTCGGCAGCTTGAATTTCTAGTCCTGTCCCACAACGAAGCACACGTGGCACATGTGGTCTCACCTTAGGCACGTGAGTTTGTTCATGAATTGCCTCTCTTCACCAAGCAGTGAATGGGTACCCGATGGTATGTCATATGACTGTTTACCTTCTAGCGCCTCACAGGCAGCTTGAGTTATTTGGTAATAATGCGTTATTTGAGCATACACAAGAGCGGGGAAACTGGTCCCTTATAAATAGCCATTATTACGTTTAACAGATTACAGATGAAAATGCAGCAGAGAGGGTTCGGGGGATTCTGGCACAGTCAGGCTGGTAAGGCTCATCATCAGCTCAGGGTCCTCACCCCCTTTACACGCAGCTCAGACAGCGAAAGGGACTTCTCCCAGAAAACACTGCCTAGACGAACCCACCAAGAACTTTCCGGAGAATATGAAGGCTCCCCAAAACTGCAGCCTTCTGCATTACCCAGATTGTCAGAAGGGATGTGCTCCCGGTGGAGAACCCGGGCACTCTCCTGATCTGCGCCAAGAGATCAGGAGGAACCAAACCAAGGGCACCGAGAACAATGGAGAGCCTGACGACAGTGTACTTGGGATGCAAGCGAGACATTTCAAAGGCGAGGTCCGCATATTTATCATGCTTTTCCTGAATCTTGCCAATCACATTGCTGTCAAAAGGAACAGAAAATTCAATGATTTATCAACAAGCACAAGACCAGGTTTGTTGGCAGGAATTCTTCTGAGGCTGTATATGGACCTATTCCACAGAAGTTTGAAAGCATAATTTTCCATGACGCCCTGGACATGTTCAGGGTCGTACCATGGATGGATCTCGGAGTCAAAGCCACAGGCATGGCGGAGACGGTAGTAAAAGCAGCGAGCCATGCCATCATGTCTCTTGAGGTATGCTGTTTGTGCCAAGGAAGGGCATCCACACACAAGGTGTTGGACAGTGACTGTAAATTCATTACACAGTCGGCATTTCATATTGATATTTTCCTTAAGAATCACATTTTGGCGACTACGATTGGGAAGTGACTGGTCCTGAGCAGCAAAAAGGAAGCCCTCATTTTCACATTTGAGACCAGCCGACTTCATCCAGGCGAAGGAGTCGGTGGGACTGCTATTCTGTTCCACACACTGCATGTACACACGATGCAATGGCTTCTCAGAAAGCTTCTCCACAAAAGACCGACTCTGGGCAGATTTGGTGAAGGACTTCACTTGGTTTACTCCCATCGCTATACCGTCCAACGGTACATCGCCATCAGCAAAATCAACCTCAAATTTCCGATTCTGTCCAACAACCTTGGCACGCTTAAAATAGCTGTGGTATTCCTTGCTTTCATCATGAGTCTTGACATGCATCACCA